TGAGTATGTGGCCAGGATGTGTGACAGGTTTGTGTGTGTGACATCTGAGCAGCTCCCTGTCCACAGAGATGCCCTTCCCATGGCTTACAGAGTAAATCCTTGCAGATAAATCAGTGTGATTTCATTATTTTGTGCTCTGTATACTATATATGAGTTTTACTCTCTCCATTCTCCAAAATCCTTCTGCCTGGGCAGGAGTTCCAGGACTTTGTCAGCCCTAGAACACTAATTGTTGAGAGTCTTCACACATTTAAAGACAGGGACTATGTCTTCCCTTCACTATGACACACTGTTGACTGCATAATATAAAACAAATGCAGGGAGAGATCTGTTATGTTTGTGCATGAACATGATGCAAGAGTCAGGTATGGCTCTATGCAATAGAAATTAGTCAGATATAACTTTAATTTTTCAGTCTGATTTTTAGTTTTTCTTTTTGGGAAAAAACTTGTTTTACTGACATGTCTTGGTGTAGAAAATGGCTTTAATTGTTATAAGAAGCACAAGCTAAAATTATTGCAAGATAAAACTTACGACTAGCTGACAAGCTGTACATTACAAGCTTCAGAGAGTTCCAAGCATTTGAATCCAGTGATTTGGAAAGCAGTTTCTTTCTCGGATAGACTGTCAATTTTGAAATCTTGAAATAAATAAGTTCTGTCTGAGGCTAAGTTTGAAATGTGAATGAAAACCCTGCAGTTTTAGTGGCTGAGTTCCATGGAACGCACTGTACAAAGAAGGTTTCCTAGTCAGCAAGTAGGGAGTACCCTAGGCTTTTGTCCCTGAAGGGCTTTTAAGGGGGAAAGTTTAACAGCTTTCCTTGTTTGAATTCTTGTACCACCTCTACATCTCCTGCCCCCCTCCCCCCAAAAAAAAACCCTGCAATTTTTTTTTTAGTTGTTACTATAATCCTTTTTCTTCCCCACAATTTGATGTTTCCTAGAAGTGTCAGCTGAGAGCAAAGGTCATGCCTGACCAGTATTTAACCCTGTATTAATATGATCTGAATTTCACTTGGTCCTAGTTAAATTAGAGCAAACACCTTTCACTTACAAACATATCTTGTTTTATTCAATAGACATGTTTCCAAATTTCGGTCATGCACTCTTATTTTAAATGTGTTACAAGATTTTACTATTTTAAAGGCATGCTATAGAGAGCATCCATCTGTAAAGACTCGCCCCTAATTTATTTTTACATGCTAACTTCTAATATTAGCTTATTTTTTTAACTTTTCTTTTTTGTTTTGGATCCCCATGTTGCTTGGAGGCAGGTAGAGTGGGTAGATTATCATTTATGTAGTTGGTGATGGATCCAGGAACCATTCACATCCTAGATTAACCTTTATTATCTCTGAAATATTCTCACCAAAAGGAAAAAAAAAAAAAACCTTGATCTCCATAGTCATTGATCCTCTAAGTTATGTTCTCCTTCACCATTTTCATTCAGTGCCAAAGGTTTTTTTAGGACCACCAAGGCAGTTTGGTTACTCACTGCCTCTGGCCTCGGGAATCCTGATTTGGGGCTGGCTTGTGTCTGTGTGAGACAAACTCAAACTACAAGTAGTCTTCTAGAGCTGTATATAAAATTATGACTCCTGTATATACATATACTTCTGGGAATAGTTGGAAGAACCATAGGATTAAGAATAAATGTCTGTGTTCCAGTCTCCGCTGTTTCACTATTTGTATAGGACATTGATAGGTCCACATCTCAGTTTCTTCATCTGTAAAATGTCTACATATTAATCTCTGAGGTCACTTCCAATTCTGAATTATTCTTCATGCTTTGACACTTCAATGCCACCCTATTTTCTCATTTCTGATAACTATTTTAATTGTATTTTGACATCTAATTGGTTTACTTTGTTTATCTGCATGTTTCGTGTAGTTTTATGTTCTTTTTTTGAAATGTCATTAAATTGATAGGGTAGTTTACAATCAGTTGGGTTTTAGAATTGAGAGACTAGGGTTTATCAGTGGTCCCAAAAGCTTTATTCTTATGACCTTTGTGGCTCCCACTTGCCAGTTGCATCTCTGCAACATGTTTTAGTTTCTGTATTATAATAGCACACTAAAGAAGAAAGTAAATAGACCTAGTGAGGATTCACCAGTGATAGGCCTCTTTATTTATGGGTGATACATATGGCTCAAGTATTTGAGTAAACCCCAGATTGCAGTTTAAACACGAGGGTTTTAGATCCATTCATACCACTTAATAGCAGTTTGAGTACAGGAAAGCAATTCGTTTCTGAGTTTTAGCCTTATCATTTGTAGTGATAATACCTGTCTCACCTATTTCATAGGGTTGCTGAGCTGGTGATCCTCAGGCACGCATGTTAGGGTGAAACAGTGTAACGCCTATTACAGGTGTTGGGCACCTGTATTCTAACTTGTGCCACCTATATAGGAACAGCTGGTCAGCAGATCTTTCATGGCACTGGGATTACCTCTCAGGCCTTATACAAAAGGCCCCTTCAGTGAATGGTCAGTCTGCTTTCTATTCTGCATCCTTATTCTTCAGATACCCTTTTTTTTTCATATGCTTCCCTTTGGGTTTTGTCCTGCACTCACCTAGTAGCCCTGCCTGATTTTCCTGAAAGCTGAAGCTCTCGTGCGCCCTCTAGTGTTCCCTGGACACCACCAGTATTCCAGCACCACGAACAGTGCCCAGTGGCTCCCAGTAGGCTCTTGGTAAATGTTCATTGAATTGAGTGGATTCTGGGTCTGCAGAATGAATCATTTTGTCTGTCTGATTTATATAACAAGGTGGAAGTATCTGATACATTTCAGTGGTCTCTGAGGAGTATTTTTATTTTCAAGGAAATGAATACGTGGCATCATGTGAAGAAATATATATTTTTAGTAAGAAAACCAACCTGTTAAGAAGATGGAGTGCACCCCACTGAGAAGTAAAGGAGGGCTTGATCCTTCAGCCGGTGAGCAGTGGAGTCTGGGACTAGAGAAGCCATAGGAACCCTCCTTATCTCTCCCGCTTAAAAAAGGAAGAAAAACAGACCTTATTCGGGGCCTGGAGAATTTAGACAAAACCAGTTGCCTCAGAAAATATTTGTTTGGTGGATATAAATAGATACCAATAGTGTTTTTGACCCCAAAAGATGATCATTTTTATATTGTTGCTTTTATTTTCCCTGATCATCCAAATATAGTCTGTGTCCACATTATTCTCTCTCCTAATATCTTATTTATTTCCTTTATGGCTCTTACTAGAATTTATAGTTACATACTTATTTGGTTGTCCTCTTCCCACACTGTACTCTCAGCTCCATATTCCCTACTCAATTAATGGCCATCTTGCAGTCTCCCAAGTTAAAACTTTTGCCCCAGCTAGGAATTTCTGACTTATTTTGAATGCCTCTCCCTCATCATCCGTATCTAATTCATTACCAAGTTTTGCCATCCTTGTATCTTAGCACCAGAGCTTTTCTCTCTTCCCATCCACTGTTACTGTTGCATTTAATTTCCTAACTGGACTCTCTCTAATATCAGGGTCTTTCACCAGAGGAATCTTTTCCAGAGCACAATTGAGGGAACTTTCCAACCTCTCATTTCGTATGAGGGAGAAAAAAAGAGGGGATACTTACTTTACAGGATGTGAAAAATAAATGATGAATATAGGGGTCAAGGGTTTGTATCTCCTTACCAGCCAGCCTCAGAAGAAAAAAGGTGGGGGGTGGGGCAAGCAATAAATGAATAGAGCTGTTATCATTTATTGTTATTTTTAAAAATGAAGCTACACGAAGAAAAATTTGTTTTACCAGATACACAACAGACTGAATTCCAGTGTAAGGAAATCTACAGTCCCTCTGAATGTTAGGTGAGATGTAATTTGGTAGGATTTTTAATTACATTGTTGCCAAATCCCATGCCTTCTTTTTAGAAGCAGTAGGAAAAGCAAAACTGATGCTCAGCTCTGAATCATAATTAGCACACATCTCCCATCTTTTTTTGTTCCCTTGAAAATTTGTACTTTTTTAAATGGGTGAGGTGATGTGATTTTTCTTGTGGGAGTTATGGTAGGAGGGGGAATGGAAAGGAAATTTCTACTTGATTGTTTAAAGTTTTGTGAATAATGTACCTGCCCCCCCCCCACACCTTTTCTTCTTTTTTCTTTTTGGCCTTAGTTACATGGAAAGAAGAGACCGTTGGAGATCTTTATTTTATTGGCAGTTTCTGCTCATTTAATTCTTGTGCCAGACCGAGAAAGTAGACCCTCTTTTCATCTTACTGACGAGGTGTTAGCGAGGTTTAATAACTTGTGCATAATCGCATTGCTTGAGAGTAATGAATGAAGCTAGGGTGGGACCCAGGTACTTTGACTCCAGAGCCGCATTCTTAACCATTGTGTGGGCTGCCTCCAGCAAAGTTCACCACCTGGCAGTTTCAGATATGGTGCCTAAAGATCCAGCCCAAGAATCACCTTTTGGAAGTTTTTCCTCACCCTTTGCCCAGTAAAAATTGCCTATTCTTTGATCTACTGCTTTGTGGTTTCCAAGGAACTATGGGCTGTAGAGGCTGTACTTACAGATATTTGACACTAGGTGGCATCTGTTTCTAGAAAAGTGAAGTGCTGTTGGGTCTTGAGAAAAGAGTAACAACGGAGACATCCTTGATTTTATTTATAGGCACTGTTGGGTAAGCAGATGGATCAAATGTAGAGGTGGGGAAGCAGGTGTTCTTTGTTTTTTGTTTTTGGTGAAATTTCCTTCAACAACCACATCCTCATCAGCTCGAGAAAAGAGTAACAACGGAGACATCCTTGATTTTATTTATAGGCACTATTGGGTAAGCAGATGGATCAAATGTAGAGGTGGGGAAACAGGTGTTCTTTGTTTTTTGTTTTTGGTGAAATTTCCTTCAACAACCCCATCCTCATCAGCTAAAACTTTTTTTTTTTTTTTTTTTTTTTTTTTTTTTTTTTTAGAAATACTTGGAGAGGTTGGAGACATGAAATCTTTTTTATATAAAATCTTTCATTGTAGTACATATTGAACGTGGATACATAAGAAACTAAGAAGCAATATTTTCAGTAATGAGGCAATTAGAGAGACGTTTATTACATGTCCAGCTATGAGTAGTAATCAGTAGCTGAATAAGTAAGTGTAAGTATTGCAAAATGTCTGATCGTAAACTTGCCAGTAGTGAGTATTTTGGTGTTTAAAATGTTTTGCTAAATGAAAAATTCTATCTAATCGTTTGTTTTTGTTGTAAGTTTTTATATAAAGAGGTAAATGTTCAATCATAACACTTCTAGGGAAGATTTTGGTTATATAGCTTAGTACAGTGAATGACTAACAAGATGTGTAATTTGGAGGCTGGCTTTCTTTTCAAAATCCATATAACTCTAGCTGGGTTTCATACCTGCAGTTAAAGGTGGAAGATGACTTTAAAAGTTGTTTTATATACACTATTTTTAAAGGTGTCTAAAATCTTTTTTCCTGTGACATGTTGGAATTATATGTATTTCTGGAGACTGGTAGCTGTAAAGCTTTTCTACTTTGGTTTACTTTTTCATGGTTTCTGTATTAGTTTCCTCTGGCTGCTGTAACAAATTACTAACAATTTGGTGGCTTAAAACAACAAAAATTTATTCTCTCACGTTTCTGGCTGCCAGAAGTTCAACAGCAGTTCCACTGGGTCAAAATCAAGGTGTTGACAGGGTTGTGCTCTAGGAGAGAATCTGTTTTTAAGCTCTTCCAGCTTCTGGTGGCCACAACACTCCAATCTCTGCCTCTTCTCTTCATGTGTGGTGTCAAATCTCTCTCTGCCTCTCTCATAAAGGCATTTGTGATGGCATTTAGGGCCTACCTGATAATCTGAGATAATCTCATTCATCTCAAAACTTTTAATATCATCTCCAAAGACTCTTTTCCTTATAAGGTAACTCACCGGTTCCAAAGACTAGGACCTGATATCTTTGGGGGCCATTTTTAGCCTACAGCTGTCTCCTTTAGAGCAGTTATCTCAACCAATTTAGTGTGATCAGTATTTTTCAAAACTTAGAGTTGATATCTCTAGCCATCATTTTATCCTGATAAGGGCTATGGGTGAAGCATTATTATGCATTGATGATAAACAGGCTTCAGGCTCCACTGCCTTGAAGGTGGTCCACATGGGGGCATTACCACCTGAGGGTGCTTGGGAAAGCTGTTGAATGGCTGAAGAGAAGGAAAGCAGTAGTGATAATTTAATAATAACATGGACATTTGGAATTACTTTACAAGTATAGAGACCCATTCTTTGCTATGGAGTTGATGGTGTTAAATACCCGTTTATCATTTGAATTAGCGGAAGAGCTCCAGTCTTACAGTGACAGCCCTGCCTTGGGTAGAGGCATAATTGTGAATTCAGAAAAACAAACACCCCCAAGGCTTTTGTTCTTTCACAGCTCTAGCACCTAGTTGAACTACTTTGATAAGTCCTCTAGCAGCTCAAGCGAGATCTGTTTCTGACAATATTTATAGGAGCAAGTTTTTTTTTTTTTTTTTTTTTCCTTTTTGTCTTTTTTCGTGACCGGTACCAGATCGCAACCCTCAGTGTCGCGCCCGTACCGGACCAGGACCGGCAACGGGATCGCAACCCTTGGTGTTGCGCCTGCACCTCGCTCAGCCAGTGAGCGGCCGGTCTGTATGTGGGATCCGAACCCTCGGCGGGAGCGCCACCGCACTGCTATAGTGCGCCACTGGGCCGGCCCTATAGGAGAAAGTTTTAAAGTTAGGTATGAACATGAATTTATAGTAGTTTTACAACAAATTGGCAACTGAGCAATTGCTTTGTCAAACTGTATTATAGTCTTATGGTAGAATGTTGATCACAAATGCTTCTGGTAGCTTTGCAGGGCTTCTTAACGGGAATTATTCCTATAATATTCCATGGAACTTTGGATATTTATTGATTGCAGATGGATTTGAAATAGCCATTGATAAAGACTGAGTTGGAATTATTTGATATAGAGTCCTTTTGCAATTTTAGATTTGGGGGAAGAACTAATTATCATGTGGGATTATATGTTGTGGTTAGGTGTGAGAATAGAAAGGGGTGTGATATGAGTGCCTAGAGTATGTCAGGCCTTGTGCTAGATTCCAGTGATACAAAAGTATACCTTAGCTAGTTTATATTGCAGAGGGAAAGGCTGGTATTATCAAATAATTATACAGAGAAGTAAATACAGCTGTAATAAGCACCATGATGAGAAATTCAAGGGGTTACAGCATATAACAAGATCTACGGGGTTGAAGGAGTGGGGTTGGGCAGGAGCTGCTGAGCAGGTTGGCAACATCCCAAATGCAAAGGCCCTGTCCTGGGAAGCTGTCAGCCTCACAAGTGTATGTTTCAAGCTGTTTTATTTTCCTTTTTATATGTATCTTTAATGGCTGGCCAGTTAGCTCAGTTGGTTACAGTGTGGTACTGATATCACCAACGTCAAGAGTATGGATCCCTGTACCACCCAGCCACCCCTGCCCCCACCCAGAAAAAGAAATTACAAATATATGTATTTAGTTTTTTTATTAGTAATAACATGCTCATCTCGAAAAGTTGAACATATAATAGGTAAAAATTGCTTGTGATTTCATTCTCCAGAGATAACACTATTTGGTTTATTGAATTGTTTTCTTAAATTGTGGTTGAATTCACTTGGAAAATGTTTTCTTTGCTCTTCTGAATAAAGGTTTCCAAAGGTTCTCTAACAGGCTAGAGTTTCCTTTTTAAAAATATGTGTTAATTTTTCTTTTTCAAACACTTGGAGATTGTTTCCCTGCCCCTGGATAATTTTTCTTAAGATAAACTATCTGCAGATAAGTTCAACATGTAAACTGGTTAAAAAGTTCTTGGTGTTAATGTCACAGAAATTATGTTAAAATTCGTGGTAGTCACTCAATATTTTTATTTTTCTGACTTTTTTTAAAAAGTCCTGGTTTATGTTTAGGACATTAAGCAAAAATCTCCTGTCTTAAGTGAAAAAGGATTAGAACCAGAGTTCTCAAATAGGACACAAGCTGTTAACTCAAAAGTCACTAAAGAGTTTATAATCCTGTAAAGGGATTGTGGAAAGATAGAAGGGTGTTGACGTTCGTTGAGGGACCACCACTGCCAGGCACTTTATGTAAACCAAGCACATTTTCTATGAAATAACTCTGCTTTGTTTTGAAACTTGTCAGAATTATCAGGCTTTTTGTTGTTGTTCTTATCATAAATAAATAGGTTCAAAATATTTGGAAAAATATTTTTTAAGTTTATTCTATACCCCCCAAAATAACTGTTGGTGTTGATGATTTGAAATGTGTCCTGGTGGTGCTGGTGGTGGTGGGTATGGTGCTTTTTACCTTAATAGTATTGTAATATAATTAGGAGTTTCTTCTTTAGTACAACTCTAAATAAATTCTTTAAGTACTTTCCCCTTAAATGCAATTCTTATTGTAGCAGTTTTCCAGTATGCTTTACATTGATTGTAAGTCCCCGCCCCCCCCCGCTTTTATTCATGTTTGGTACTATAATTTGAAGTACATGCTGCTTTCCCCACCTGTTGATCCTGTGAAACTACATAAGGCAAATCTTCCTTTCTTGTTGACTTTAGTCCTCAGAGCAGTGGTGCTGCTTATCTTGGAGCACAATCACAATTGCGTTTCCATAGAGCCTGGTTGCATCATTTTTGTGAACACTCACTGGCAGCAAAGCCCTCAGGGAGTTCCACCCCATTCTTACACTCGGATGATCTATATTGCTTAGATCCAGAGCATTAATTAATCTAGTAGTTAAAAAAAAGTTAACACAGATCCTGTAAACCCTGTGAAGGCATGCATTTTCACATTCACTAACCTATTTCCATCATCTCCCACCCCATGAATTTACTTACATATGTCTTTTCTGGTATGTGAAACTTCTACTCTTTTTTTGGTTATTCCTTATATTCCCCTTGCCATCTATTTTTTGAGCAAAGCCCTCTCTGTTGTCTTCACAAGTGCATGTTTCAAGACATTATGCCCATGTTAGAAGTTCTCTGTCAGGGCCAGCCCATGGCTCACTTGGGAGAGAGTGGTGCTGATAACACCAAGGCCATGGGTTCGGATTCCTGTATAGGGATGGCCGGTTAGCTCACTTGGGAGAGCATGATGCTGACAACACCAAGTCAAGGGTTAAGATCCCCCTACCGGTCATCTTCAAAAAAAAAAAAAAAAGCCGGCCCTTGGCTCACTCAGGAGAGGGCGGTGCTGATAAAACCAAGGCTACGGGTTTGGATCCTATATAGGGATGGCCGGTTAGCTCACTGGCTGAGCGTGGTGCTAACAACACCAAGCCAAGGGTTGAGATCCCCTTACTAGTCATCTTAAAAAAAAAAAAAAAAAAGTTCTCTGTCATTCTTGAGCAAAGCTCACAAATCATCAGTGACCCATCCTGTCCATGAGTTTAGACTCATAAAAGAGAGATGTGCCTTTTGGGTGTCTTAGCCTTTGCCCAAGTTGGTCACTCCCTCTTGAATCACTCATCCCTGGTTACCTCTTGGTTCTCCTTCTTCCTTTCTAGTTGTCTCTTTTTATTATCCTTTACCTTTTCCTCATCTTGAGCTCTAAATATTAGAGTGCCCCCTCAGTCCTTGGAATTCTTTTATCTGTAGTCACTCCTAGAGGATTTTGTCTGGTCCCATGGCTTTAAATGCCGCTAATGCTCTGATTTCAAATTTTTATCTTCTGCCTGATCCTGGATTCCAGACCCTTGTATCTAGCTGCCTACTCCACTTGGATCTCTAATGGGGATCTCAAAAATGACCAAAGTCAAACTCCCACCCCCTGACTCCTACCAGTCTTCCAGTAGTCTTTGTTTGTTATCTCCCCAAATGTTAATTCCGCTCTTCTTTTGTAGGTGTATTTGAGTCCTCTTTCTCTCACACACATATTCAATCTGTCAAAAAGTCCTGTCTATCAGCAAAACCTTCAGAAAAGATCCTGGAAACAACTATTTCTTGCCACCTCTGCTGCTGCAAGCCACTAGTTCTCTGGTTTATTATAGTAGTCACTTAACCAGTCTCCTTGTCCCCAGAAATTATTAGTAGCTTCATTAGAACTGCTTTTTAAAAAGTATTCATTTGTGAGCTCTCTCCACAAAGTAAGCTGCCAGCATAGACCTTATAAAACTGAGTTGGAGCATGTCACTTCTCTGATTTCCATCTTGCTGGGAGTAAGTGCCTAAGTCTCAGCAGTGGCTATTGTAGCCATTCTTTCTTGTAGCAGCCTCTCTGACCTTATCCTGTCCCTCCCTCCACTCTTATCTGCTCCAGCCACTCTGGCTTCTGTGCTATTCCTCAGGCAAACCAAGTGCCTTTTCTGCTCCTGGGCTGTGTGCTTACACTTCCTTTTGCTCAGTTGCTGCCCTGTTTCCTCGCACTTCCTTTAGCGCTCTTTGAAAAAAGCCACCATTACCCCCTACTCCACCTGAAACATTCCCTGCCACCATAAACTGCTTTATTTTCTGCACGATGCTGACATTTATTTGTTTATTTATTATTTCCTAGTGCTTCCTTCCATTAGAATATAAGCACAGATGAGAGCAGAAACCTTTTGTTCTTTGCTGTGTCTTCAGTGCCTGCAACAGTACCTGGAATGTTGTAGGTGTCTCATAATTTTCATGACATTTTTATATTGGGAAGTCAGAACAAAGATTTGTAGCTATTATGCCACTTAAGGAGTGGCCAGTACTCCTTTCTTGAAATATTTTTTCTGCCAATTTTGGGATAAAATTGAAACAATTTTTAGTTCTAAATATAGTCATTGGCTAGTTAGCTCAGATATTGTCAGCCAAGGCCATGGAAGCATTTCCATGTCAGCCAGCTGTGTTCCATGGCAGACCTGCAGCCTGTTTGTTGGAAGAGGGGACTTAGGCGGTAGCCATGAAGCCTTTAGGCTTTGCTGTCTACCTTATGTCTTCAACCCATTTCTCTATAGTATCCTGCAATATCAACTTGTGTTAGTTTTTTGAAATTCCATTACTATCTTTTTTAATATGTAAACTTGTAGTCCTATAGGAAAGATTGTGGCATTAAGAACAGATTCCATATTCATGAGGGCAGAACAAATGACCCTTAGTAAATTACGTATTCATTTTTAGTTAAAAATTTATAAATAGCCCCCAAATTATTGATAGCTTTATTAGAAGTCTTTTCAAAAATTTCATTTGTGACCTTAAATAAGGTCTTTTTGCCTTACTGACATCTGTCGTTATATGAATGTGTGGGGAATTTCGGAGCCTCTGCTAGACTACATCCAGACATGCGTACTGCATTCATACTAGTGAAATTCAGCCACTTTCCATGATTGACAGAAGTGGCTTTTACAATGAGATACCTTCAGTTCAAACAATATCAGTTGACCACAATATAAAGAGACCCAAGGTCACCAGTTTGTTCCAATTTGGATCATTAACTCACATTTAGTTGAAATTATGTATAAATTAGAGTGGATCTCAGTCTGTGTTCCGTGAACTGAGCTGAAGTGTGCTACTGCTAAAATGATTTGTTGGTGAACTCTTTTAATTCTCAGAAAAAAAATAGGTTAATAGATATAATTTCCTCATTAAAATTTTTATTCCATAATTTTTCTTAAAATTTTGGCATCTGTTCTTTGCCCTAAAAGATGAGAAAATGAATGAGTAACTTAGAGCTTGTGGAGCTTAAGTAGTGGCACTTGTATCATCTGGAGGTCTTGCTAAAACACTTACTGCTGGGCCTCATCCCTCTGTTTTCTGCTTTTAATCTCTTGAGTGGGAATCTTGGTTGGGACTTAAGGAGTCTCCATGGAGAGATGGCTTGCTATTTCTTGTGTCTCTTCATTCTGTCTAAAACCAAGTTTCTCTTTCCTATTCCATACTGTTACACTATATGTCTTTTCATTGAGGAATATTAGGAACTCCTAAGAATCTTGAAAATTCTTCAATCATTATCTATCAGTTGTGTGGTATATAAGGGCATTCTTGAGATGGATTTCCTAAAGGACCAAAAGCACTTTACCTTCTCATCCTTGTTCTTTTTCTCTGCAGGTGCAGAATTAGGACAAATGAGCCCCAAAGCATAAAGGCAGGTGGTAGGGAAATTACTGGTGGTAGTGGCTAGGGATCCTTCCATGTCTGTACCTGTTTAGGAGCTTCTTTCACTGCATTTAACACTATGGGCATCTTCAGACAGAAGAGAATTTGAAAAGGCCAGGCAATAACTTTAATTTACAGCTTAAAAAAAAATACAAGGGACCGACCCCGTGGCGCACTCGGGAGAGTGCGGCGCTGGGAGCGCAGCGACCTCCCGCCACGGGTTCGGATCCTATATAAAAATGGCCGGTGCGCTCACTGGCTGAGCGCGGTGGGGGCAACACCGCACCAAGGGTTGCGATCCCCTTACCAGTCACGAAAAAGACAAAAAAAAAAAAAATACAAGGGACCGACCCCGTGGCGCACTCGGGAGAGTGCGGCGCTGGGAGCGCAGCGACCTCCCGCCACGGGTTCGGATCCTATATAAAAATGGCCGGTGCGCTCACTGGCTGAGCGCGGTGGGGGCAACACCGCACCAAGGGTTGCGATCCCCTTACCAGTCACGAAAAAGACAAAAAAAAAAAAAAATACAAGAATATTGTTTCTGTGACATGGTTTGGTCCACAACCTCATTTATTTATTCTTTTATCAGTTTAGTGCCTCTGATCTACTATATGCTATGCTAGATATTGGGGTCAGAGATAAAAAAAATAAATTCTTGACCTCAGGACTTCAGTCAATTAAGGAAGCAGACAAACAATTATAATCAATATAGTGACATAAAGGCTTTCACCTAACTTTTGTAGTAGAGATATAGAACTGAATTTGCCAGTGAGGGTCAAGAAAGGCTTCCTGAGGATGTAAATACTGAACTGGGACTTAGAGAAATTAGCCAGACAGAAAGACGGGTCATAGTTTTCCAGGCAGAGTGGAAAGGTAAGAGAGGACCATGGTGCATTGCCCTTTCTTTCCAAGCTTTCTTTGCTTTTATGTTCAAAGGTCTACTGCTCTTGAGTTCTATGCCTTTTCCCCTAAGTATAAATACAGGCAATTTGATCATCAGTTAGAGGTCTCTTATTAAATTTGATAAAATTAATCATTGGAAAATCTTTAGCTTATCACTGCTGTGTGCATATAATAGTTTTTTCACCCTTTCCTGTTGTTTAAGCAGCAGCATTTCACTGGATTTAGTGAAGTCTAAAAGACTGGCAAAATATAAGTTGAATATTTGAAAAGTTAACTAATTGGATTTAAATAGTGAAGGAACCAGGAGAAAAACACATATTAGAGATCAGTTGTAAAGTTATCCTTAACATCAATCACATATTTGTTACCTTTCACCTAAGCATGCTGATCACATGCACATTTTACCCCCGTGCGAATTCACACAAATGTTCCTGTGATATGAAAGAGACCAAATTAATGTTTTGTGTTTGTGTTGGCTGTCATGAATGGCACGACCAGGTATGCTTTTCTAGGAGTATTTCAAGATAATTTACCATTTTTACTTTTCTGTGTGTTTGAAAAGTAATGGAAATTGACCTTTGCCTGGTGTAATTGACCAGTGCTTGGGCAGCAGTGCAAGCATCTGTCAACTACACCAGACAAGGGTGATTCTGCTGTAGGTACATTGTGTGGCATTGGGCATGTGGCCTCAGTTTTATCTGCAAATTGAAGTTCTACTAATAAGCTTAAAGTCTCATTAGCTCTGAAGTTCTGTATTTTTGTACTTTCTTATCTTAGGGCCTTTTTAGTCTGACTTACCACCTCATTGTGGAATTATGCTTTAGTATATCATGGACATCCTTTTTCTTATTCCATTAGCAGCAAATGTAATATATTAATACCCTCATTTCCAAAGAGCCTTATAAATTACAAGCATCCTTCACTGTCCAAATCACTCAGTTCCCAAATTCAACTAAGATTTAGGTAGTGAGGGATACCTCTATATTACCAAATGTAATAGTCTCAATTTTGTTGCCATTGTAGAGGAATGATAAAAGTAGACATTTCCAGCTAGGCACTACTTTCATACTTTGGTATAAAAGAATATTGGTCTCTTAAGTACTTTGAACAGTGACTTCATACTAACAACAACAAAAAGATGTGAAATTCTTTACTTTCCTTATTCTTGTCCCTCTCCTAAGTTTTGTTTGTAGGGTTCTTTATGCTATAAGTAATGTGTAACTAGCATAACAGTTAGGAATCCCTTACTGTGGTGGACAAAGCTTAACAAAGATGCCTTTTCCTAAACTTTCCTTGGAACAAAGGAGATAAATAACTTCCTTGTATTTACTCACAGAGCTTATAGAGCTTTACCAAAACATGTAATTTGAGCAGATTATACCACTATATGTAGATATCAGCATAATAAGGAGCAAAGATGATTCTTATTGGTAACTGAAAGATAAATATTTATTGAGCATCTACTATTTGCCAGTCACTGTTCTAAAGAAGCACAAGCAATGAACAAGTCAGAATGAGTTCCTGCCTTGGGTAGTTTACATTCTCATCAGAGTCTGGAGGCACCATAGTGTTGAGTATGACGTCATACATCATGTGATTGGAGAGCCAAGATTGTCTTTAATGGGTGGAGACATTAATTACTCGCTTACTTTTAATACTTATGTATCTTTCTCAAGGGTCTGTTTAGCATGGTTTTTTTGTATTTACCTCCCCATTTTGTTTTGTTTTTCATATTTTGTTTCTGTTAGGAGAGAACATTGAAATTATTCTCTAAGCTATTCAAAGAGAGTGACTAAATGCACCTGGGTCAGGCTGTCTGTGGGTATGAAGTGGTTGGGAGAATCCAAGAACATGGTGGTGAATGGCAGGAGAAATGGAGGCAAGTTGTCTAATGACCATCAGCAGAACCAGTCAAAATTACAGCACACGGGGAAGGACACCCTGAAGGCTGGCAAAAACGCAGTCGAGAGGAGGTCAAGCAGATGTATGTACACAGTTAACCTATCACTGTTTTGATTGTTATATGAGACAGTGATTCTTTTCAGTTTGTAATGTGTATTCTGTTTTTGTCTTCAAACGATTTTTTACTTTCTCATTGTTAATAGTATAGTTTTTTTTTTACTCTCAAAGTTATATCAATTTTTATTCTCATCAAACAATATGTAAAAACTTAAGTTTAATGCTTAATATAATAATCTTAATCATGCTTTTCGATGTATAACTTTAAATTATATTTTGTAGGATTTATACCTTAATGGTTGATTTGTTCTATAAAAATTTTTAATGTACTGGTGCTGAATTCCCTATAAGTTTAAACTGTATTTTTTACATTCGATGTAAGTATAAGTATGTACTTCTTTTGCTACTTCCCTAAATGTTTAATGGAGTAATATGAATAATAAAGTCAACTCTAATTTACACGGTAAGTATAATGGACGATACGTAGAACTGACTGCTTTAGGGCAGCTTTACAAATTGTAGCTATTTATTCTGTTTATAAAGGGTAAACAGTTGTTTATCCTGACAATGAAGCACTGCTTATAAATTATTTTGTTACCTTTATACCTTTTTGGTGAGAATGGGGCTACTTTTTGAAGGTTCAAGAAATTGTAGGTTTTGCACATATTTCGTAGTTCCTCTAAGAGCAGTGAAATGCCTGAGAATAATTGTAAACCTAAGTAGGCAACTATATGAAGGTTGTTCAGAAATGGATCCCCATTTTAAGGTGGACAACATTTTCAATTTCTACTTTTCCTAACATTAAGCCACTATTGAATGTCCTTAGTTTGTGTTGGAATTGGCCTTCTCACGAGTTTGGATTAGCCTAGGTTTTCTACTGTTCGACATAGATTGTACCAGTTCTGATTCATTTCCTTCTCCTTACCTTTTATGGGTTTATGCTATTCATTGGACCCGGGCTGCCCTTAACCTTTCCATATCAAGTCGGGCCACTGTTTCTGTAGAAAACCAGGCAGAATTCTTGCTTGGGATGAGAACAGGAAAGATCCCAAGACTGAATGGGCTCTCCTCTGCATGGACACCAGCTAAACCCTGAGGTTGCTGTCAGTGTGCACCCTGATCCTTTCTCACCCCTTAGCATTTGGATGGGAATCTGAAGAGTTGAGAAATGTAGTGACCTAATCAGTGGTATTGGTTCCGGTCAGTAAATTAGGCACCTCTTAAGCTTTTTAGCACATTGTTGTTGGCCTCCTTTTGTTGTGCATCATAGTGCAAAAAGGTTTAATTCAGTTTAATTGTTGGTGATACGTAAGAATTTAGAAAATAATCATTATGTGGGTAACACTTTACTAAGCATAGGTAGATGTAGAGGGATAGGTTTGGAAAACCCAGTGTGAATATGAAAGCATCACATTGAATGTTATTGGGCAAGAATGGTGCAAGAGAACCAGGAGAGCTCAAAATAGTGCTCCATCTTAGATGAGATGCTATGACTTCACCTAACATCAGAGCCTCAATTTGACATGAAACAAAAACTGACAAAATTAAAGGTAAAAATAGACAATTCAGCAAGAATTTGGAGACTTCAATACTTCACTTTTGATAATGGGTAGAACTTACCAGTATAAACCAACGAGACCTAACAGACATCTATAGAATATTCCACTCAACAGCAGGATACACATTCTTTTCAAGTGTACATGGAGCATTCTTCAGGATAGACTACATGTTAGGCCATATAACAAGCCTCAGTAAACTTAAAACGATTGAAATTATACAAAGTATGTTCTCTGACCACAATGGAGTAAAACTAGAAATCAATAACAGAAAGAAATTTGGGAAATTCACAAATAACGTAGAAATTTAAATATGCTCCTGAATAACCAATGGGTCAAAGAAAAAATCAAAAAGGAAATGAGAAAACACTTGAAGTAAATAAAAATGAATACATAATATACCAAAACTTATGGGATGCAGGCAAAACAGTAGCTTAGAGAGAAATTTATAGTTATAAATGCCTATATTAAAAAAGAAGAAAGATCTCGAATTAGTAACCTAACCTTCCATCTTAAAACACCAGAAAAGGGAGAGTGAACTAAACACAAAGCAAGCAAAAGGAAGGAAATAAAGATTAGGGTGGAAATAATGAAATAGAGAACAGAGAACAATAGAGAAAATCAACAAAACTAAAAGTTGGTTCTTTGAAAAGATCAACAAAATTAGCAAACCTTAAGACCAAGGAAAAGAGAAGACTCAAGTTATTAAGATCAAGAGTGAAAGGGGACATTGCTGCTGCCTTACAGAATTAAAAAGGATTATAATAGAATAACTCAAACAACTCCCTACTGACAAATTAGATAACTTGGATAAAATGGACAAATTCCTAGAGAAAACAAACTACTGAAACTGATTCGAGAGGTAGAAAATGTGAATAAACCTATAGCCAGTAAAGAGAATCATAATTTTTTTTTTTCCTTTTTTTTGTCTTTCTTCGTGTCCGGCAACGGATCGCAACCCTCAGTGTCGCACCCGTACCGGACCGGCAATGGGATCGCAACCCTCGGCGCTGCACCCGCACCTCGCTCAGCCAGTGAGCGGGAACCGGTCTGCATGTGGGATCCGAACCCTCGGCGGGAGCACCGCCACACCCCCAAGCGGCCCACTATAGCAGTGTGCCACTGGGCCGGCCCCAAAGAGAATCATAATTTTTAAAAAAACACCCATGAAAAAAATCTCAGGCCTAGCTGATTTCATTCTGCTATATGAATTCTGCCAGATGTCTAAAGCAAAGTTAGTATGAATTCTTCATAAACTCTTTCAAAAATAGAAGAGAAAGGAACACTTCCTAACTCATTTTATTGCCCTGCTGTACCAAAACCAAAAACATCACAAAACTATAGACCAATATCCTTTATGAATCTGGACACAAAAGCCCTCAAGAAAATACTAGCAGATCAAATCCAGCAACATATGAAAAGGATTCTATAGTATGACCTACTGTAATTTATCCCAGGAATGCAAGGTTGATTTAACATCTGAAAATCAATTAATGTAATATACCATATTGATAGAATGTGACAAAAATCCACATGATCATCTCAATAGATGCAGAAAAAACATTTGACACTCAAAAACACTCAAGTAGGAATAGAAGAGAATGCTCAAGCAGATAAAGGACATCTATGGAAAACCTACAGCTAATGTCATATTTAATGGTGAAAGACTAAATGCTTTTCCCCCAAGATGAGGAACAAGACAAGGATATCCACTCTCACCACTTCTGTTCAACATTGTAGTAGAGGTTCTAGCCAGAGCAGTTAGGCAAGAAAAATTAACTAAAAGGCATCCAGATTGGACAGGAAGAAGTAAACAATCTCTATTTGCAGATGATATGGTTGTGTATATAGAAAACCCTGAGGAATACACTAAAAAAGTATTAGAATTAATAAATGAGTTCCAAAAAAATCAATTGCATTTTTGTCAGCACCACACTCACCCAGTGAGCAAACCGGCCATCCCTATATGGGATCCGAACCCGTGGCCTTGGTGTTATCAGCACCGCACTCTACTGAGTGAGCCACGGGCCGGCCTGTCAGTTGCATTTTTATACACTTGCAGTGAACAATCCAAAATTGAAATTAAGGCAGTCTCATTTACAATGGCATCAAAAAAATAGGAATAAATTTTACAAGCAAAGTGCAAAATTTTTACTCTGGAAACTATGGAGATTGTTGGAAGAAATTAAGGACCTAATTAAATGGAATGACATCTCATGTTCATTGGAAGACTTAATATTGTTAAGATGGCAATATTCATATGATCTACAAATTCAGCACAATCCCTATCAAAGTCCCAATCGGCTTCTTTTCAGAAAATGACAAGCTGATTCTAAAATTCTTATGGAAATTTAAGGAACCCAGAATAAATAAAACAATCTTGAGCAAGAAAAAAGCTGGAGAACTCAGATTTCCCGATTTCAAATACTGCAAAGCTGCAGTAGTCAAGACAATGATGCTCTGGCATGTGGATAGGCATGTAGATCCACGGAGTAGAATTGAAAGTCCAGAAATAAATCCCCAAATTTTGGGTCAATTGATTTTTGACAAAAGTGCCAAGAAGATTCAGTGGGGAAGGAGTAATCTTATCAACAAATGGTGCTGAGACTAGGGTCAAGGTTTCAGATCCCTGTACCAGCCAGCAGCAAAAAAAGAATACAAATGGCTCTAGGAAAATTTGGATATCAACATGCAAAAGAATAAAGTTGAGTCCCATCTCATACCATATGTAAAAATTAACTCATGATTGATCAAAGGCCTAAATGTAAAAGCAAAAGCTGTAGAACTCCTAGAAGAAAACATAAATCTTCCTGACTTTGGAGTAGGCAGTGGTTTCTTAGATACGGCACTAAAAGCACAAGGAACAATAACAGAAATAAACAGGAATTCATCAAAATCACAGCTTTAAGGGACAGACACCATCAAGAATATAAAAAGATGGCACACAGAATGAAAGAAAATATTTTCAAATCGTTTAAGGACCTAGTATCCAGAATATATAAAGAACTCTTACAAGCAAGAGTAAAGGACAAAACACAAGTTTAAAATTGGCAAAGGATCTGAATATACAGAAGTTTCTCTAAAGACATGCAATGGCCAGTAAGCACATGAAAAAAATGTCCAATATCATTAGTCATCAGGGAGTGCAAATCAGAACCACAGGATACCACTTCACAATCATTAGGAAGTTTGGAATCAAAAAGACAGATAATGGCCGGCCCGGTGGCGCACTGCTGTAGTGCGCCGCTTGGGAAGTGCGGTGGCGCTCCCGCCGAGGGTTCGGATCCCACGTACAGACCGGCCGCTCACTGGCTGAGCGAGGGGCGGGAGCAACACTGAGGGTTGCGATCCCGTGGCCGGTCCCGGTCCGGTACGGGCGCGACACTGAGGGTTGCGATCCGTTGCCGGTCACGAAAAAAGGGAAAAAAAAAAGACAGATAATAACAAGTGTTGGTGAGGATGTGGATAATTTGGAACTCTCATACACTGCGGGTGTGGATGTAAAATGGTGCAGCCACTTTGGAAAACAATCTGTTTCCAAACAGGCAGTTCCTCAGTGGTTAAACATAGAATTGCCATATGCTCCAGCAATTCTTCTCCTAGGTATATACCTAAGAGAGTTGAAAACAGATATACTCACAATAACTTTTACACAAATGTTCACAGCAGCATTATTCATAATAGCCAAAATGTGGAAACAAATCAGATGTCCACCAACCGATGAATGGATAAGCAAAATATGCCTGTAATAAAGAACAAAGTACTGATGGATGGTACAGTGTGGATGAACCCTGAAAACATTATACTAATTGAAAGAAGCCAGTCACAAAAGGTTACATATCGTATGATTCCCTCTGTATGAAATCTTCAGAATAGGCATATCCATAGAGACAAAGTAGATTCATGGTTGCCAGGGGCTTTGCAGGAGGAAGGAATGGGTAGAGACTACTAATGGGTATGGGTTTCTTTTTGGGGTGATGGTTGCACAACTCTGAATATGTTAAAAGCCATTGAATTGAATACTTTAAATAGGTGAGTTTTATGGTATGTGAATTATATTTCAATAAATCTGCTACAGAAAGTGTAATGACTTTGATAGCTCTTCACATACCTTCATGAAAATAACTTGATTGCAAAGTCAATATCTACCCTTGTCAGGGACTACACATGTCCAACTGTTTGTTTTGTTTTGTGAAGAGTGGATGAAAAGAAGTTTAAACCTCTGACTAATGTCTCTCATTCTTCCATGTTTTGATTTTGAGAACCTTAAAGTTAATACTGCTGGTGTCCTCTGTAAATTATATGTAATTCCATGAAAATCTGTCAATAATGTATACATCAAACTTAATCAGAACTAATGAAACTTCATATAAATTTGGCCTTCTTTTCTTTCTTTACATTGTTTTTCTTCCATAGTTAAACCCAATTATTTTAGTTATACATTCCAGTCCCTATTTTTACCCATTCATTCAAAATTGTTTCAAACAGAGGTGAGTTAAAAATAAGCTTATCATTCCCTGCCCACTTTCCCCCCACAATTCTGCTGCCTAGCTCTGTAATCATAGGCAAGTAGCTTAACCTCTCTCTGGGCCTCAGTTGCCTGCACAGTGTGGGGATAATAATCACTCATCTGCCCAAAAGCAGGAAGCTGCACTTAAATCCTTGAGGTTACTTTTGGTACTTGAGAGCTACAGTTCTTTCGCTGATGGCAGAAACTGTCTTGTGTTCCTCTTGTTACCTTCTCACCCCTGTATTACATTACCTTCTGTAATGGCTCAGTATGCTGTCTTGTTAAAATAATGAACATCCTCCTGTCCCGTTTCTCAACTATTCGTTGGAGGGGGGAGAGTAAAGCGTCTAAACCAAAGATTCTCACAACTGTCCAGACTCTGTTTTGGGGAACCTGATAATATTGTCTGCTAACCAAAATACTTCTAAATAATTGGGGTAATTTTTCTTAATTATTAAAACTGATTGAAATAAGTAATTTTTCAGTTCTTGATTACTGGTTTGAATGGGTGATGAAGTTAAAAATTTTTAAGGTGGATTTAAGTAGTTTTCAATTTGAGTTATTTTTCTTTCTTTTGCTTTTCTCAGGTAATGGTAATTCAGGATTTGAAGGACAGAGTCGATATGTACCATCTTCTGGAATGTCCGCCAAGGAACTCTGTGAAAATGATGACCTAGCAACCAGTTTGGTTCTTGATCCCTATTTAGGTTTCCAAACACACAAAATGAATACTAGGTAATTTTAAATCTTTATCCTGAATGGAACAGATGATGATGTTGAATTTAAGAAAATAGATGGCTAATTTTACTTCTGCTCAAAACCTAAAATGACAATAAAGGAAAGTTCTTTGCTGCGGAAGGGTTTTTTGTGTGAGCTAAGAGAAGCAAGCAAGGTCTCTAAGAGTCTTCAATTCTGCATCCCTACTTTACCTCACAACCTTTCTATTAAAATATAAAGCTGGAGAAGCCATCTTCATGTTCTTTTTTAAATGTTGATAATAATTATCGTGGCTAAAAGAAAAGTCTTGCAAACATCCTGTAAAACCATGAAAATGTGTGAGTGTTTTTTCTTAAAGTAGGTTACATCTTTTTTTTTTCACGACTTTATTATAGAACTTTTTCTTTTAAATAATTACCACTGTATGTGTGGGGAATTTTGCCATCATGTTTAATCTTTGAGATTCAGCTAATCATTATAAGTATGAGTGAATATTTTTAAAGGCATGTGTTTGTATTCACATGCAGGTAGGAAAATAAATGTGTAAGTGTTTCATTGAGTATCAAATGTTATATATAAAATATTATAACATTAACCTTGAAATCTGTCATCCTTTAACATCTGAGGTCTCTAATGCCTTTATTCTAATTTTCTTAGATATCATCTCCCCCTTAAAATTAAGATCCTTAGATCATTCCGTAATTGTTACTGTCACCAAACAGGAGGTTAGAGCTTTGTAACTTTTCTTTCTCTTAACTTCTATGGCAAATGGTTTTTTTGGGGGGTTTTTTTTTGTCTTTTTCCGTGTCTGGCAACGGATCGCAACCCTCAGTGTCACCCCCGTACCGGACCGGGATCGCAACCCTCGGCGTTGCCCCCGCGCCTCCCTCAGCCAGTGAGCGGGAACCGGTCTGTATGTGGGATCCGAACCCTCGGCGGGAGCGCCGCCGCACTTCCCAAGCAGCGCACTAGCGCAGTGCGCCACCGGGCCGGCCTATGGCAAATGGTTTTTGAGTTTGGTGGAAAAGCATAACAGCAGGGATTGAGAATGTAGAGCAAGTTCTGGGTCCCTTTCACTCCTTTCTCCATCACACCTGCACTAGTGTTTTGTAGCTCCAGTGTCAGTGACAATCCAGGAGGAACTTGATAACCAGGTGGATAGTCACTGATTATTAATTGGAAGGTAGGAATTGGTGATACAGTTGATTGGCAAAGTCTTGTCCTTTTTTTTTTACCCTTTTTAATTCTGTCCCTTGCTAGAATTGAAACAAGATACTGTATGCTTCACTTATCAATTATATTCTAAATCCAGAAAGAAGTAATTTAGTTGAAAATATGCCTTTGGTATTAGTGTCATGTAATTTTATGTCGTCATACATCTTTATTCGCTAAAATGAAGTGAGTCATTGGAATGGAGTTCAGAGATTATTTAAATAGTTCCCTGCCAGATGGCTGACTGTTCTTTGGAAAATCAGCAATATTGGATGCCCAACTAAAACCTCGTTTGCATTATTTTAAGTCTGTTTCCCTTTTTTTTTTTTTTTCATTGAACATGAAACCAATGCTCATTTTCCTCCTAGAAGATTCTGATAGTATTTAAATCACCCTTTAGCCTTTTTTTCCCCTAATTTAAGAAATGAGGAAATGTGAATATGTGAATCACTGTTTGACACAATAGTCTAGTGTCATTCAGGATCAGGATATCACTGCAGAGGCCCATAATTTTGACCAGGAGTCATCAAGAAAGTTATGTTGTGTTGATTATGCCTTGAATAGTGAGATATGGAAGCATATAAAACATTTTAGGAAGTATTTCATCAAAATTACATTGAAAGTTTTAGTGGCTTATGAAAGAACTTCATGTATTCCAAAACACCCATGTTCTATTCCAGAGGATGAAGGGTTATCTCCTGTTGTTGGCTTCTGCAATAGGAAATACTCCAGTTTTCTGTAAAAGTCTTCCTAGACCACTGCTTCTCATAATTAGTTTACCTATGAATCACCTGGGAATCTTGTTAAAATGCAGGTTCTGATTCAGTAGCTTTGGAGTGGGGCCTGAGATTCCGCATTTCTAACAAGCTTCCAGTCTGTGCCTGGAATAGCTAGGTCCATCTGGCCAATAAGTTTCACTGTGGTGTGATAAGTAGATAAAAAGTTTCTTATCGGTAGTTTCCTAGGGCTCACTTAAAATCATGTATTCATAAAATGTAAAGTTTAGGATTACTACACAAATAATAAAACTCAGGATATTATAACTGAGGACTCCCAAGTTAAAATGCATCGGGTACATAAAATTTTTTCCCATATAAATTGAAGCATTTAAAGATCAAGCTGGTTTAATAACTTAAACCTGCAGAAGAAAACATTTGTTCATATTTTTCGGTGCAACATTTAATTATACTCATACAGTTCCTAAAATAGCCTGTGATGGTGTAGACAGTCCTTCTGTTCCCTGGTTAGAGCAGGTTGGTTTCAGAGCAGTGCTAGAACTTCAGGCCAGTGTGGTTGTACAAGGTGATGTCTTCTCTTTCCACCAGACACATTCAGTTCATGGGTGTTTTACAGATTCTCATGTAAACTGACATTTGGAAATAAACAGAAATTTTATTATTGAAGCTTGTCAATCTTAGTGAAAAGTACAATTTTCATTTAATTTTAGTGGACTTATTTGAAAATAAAAACTATCTCTTCTATCTTCTAGCTCTTTGTTTTTTGAACAAGAATTTACCAGAATGTTGACTTAAGTCATTTTCAAACATATTATTTTGTAGAAAATAAGGAAAATCTATAGTGCTTTATTGGATTAGTAAATAACCAGTAAATAATTCTTAAATTATTAGCTTATGGATTTCTGTCTCTTTGGGGTAAAAAGAAGTGACTGGAAAATGTAATGGATCTTGGATTTTAATTCTCCTAGTTATCTGTATGTTCCTTGTGTATGTGGTCTCTTTGTTTGTGTTTATGCATCTGCAATTCAGTTATCATTTTTTAGTTTGTCTTTTTTATATCCTTTTTGCACCCTTCTACTTATTTCAGTGTACCACCAGGAAAAATGTTGAAAAACAGTAGATGTTTAATGATTTGAGAATTTCCAGAACTGGCTCTATTTTGTATGCTTATGTTTTAATATATCCCTGTATTTACTAATAAGAAAGTCAGAATTGTAGCATGAATACTTAGAAATAGTATTAAACAGAACACAAATGTCAGTTTATTGGGAAAATTTTGGATTTAATTTACTTTTGTCAATTATAAAACTTAAATTCTTTTTAACAAGAGAATAGAGTTTTTGGTAATACCTCTGATTTTTAAGAAAGAAGTGGGAGCAGAATATTGTAAAAGGGGTGGATACTTTCATTAATACCCTCTTGTTTAGGCTACGTGACCCTGAGAGTTCACAGTATCCTGAGGAGTAGGGGAGACTCAAAGAAGAGTCATCTCAGAGCTCTTTTTCTTTGAAACTTTTCCTGGTTTTACTAATCCAGAAGTCAACCTGTACAGTTTTTACTAATCCTTTCACTACTGTAACCATTTAATTTTTATTTTACTCATGTATGTATTTGATTATTTACATCCACTGTTGGATATGAATTTATAAATCATTTTAATCACTTGAAAATTAGGTGCTTGACTAGAATGCATAAAGAAATTTTTCATACCTTCTGACTTAATCAACGGTAAGATTGTGTTATACATGAGGTCTTCAAAAAGTTCATGGAAAGATTCATATTATCTTTAAATTTATTTTTCCACAAACTTTTTGAGGTACCCTCATATGGGAAAGAAAAAATTTTAAGAACCTGGCTTGTGTTATGCTGCTGAGCCTACCCACGGCTTCATAAAGTTCTTAAATATCACAGTGTTTTAAGGATTTTTGCTACAACGAATATTCTAAGTCTGTTTAGAAATTATAAATTATACAAATAGTTTTTTATTGTTATTTGTTTTTGCATTTATATAGCGCCTTTCCTTCGAGGAGCTCAAGGCATTTTTCAAAATCTGACAGTTTTCCTCACAACAACCCTGTGAGGTAGGTAGAGTGCATCAAGAACAATAAGATACTGATTAACCTGTTTCAGCATTTATAATGTTCTTTTATGTTAATTAATTTGAGGTGTCAGCATAAACACGAGTTTTAGAACATTTTGCAAACCTTTTAAAATAGTTTGGTCTTAGTAATAGTTATATTTTTTTAAAAAACCACTTGTACTCCATAACAGGGTAATTTTAAGAGAAACAAATCATTCATCAAAAGATCAGGAGTCACTCCATGGAATTAGCTGAGCACTGATTGCAGGACTCAGCCAGGTATGTTTTTGGTTCTTGTTTATTTTCAGGTCAAGAAGCAGTGAAGAGCTGTGGTTCTGTGACTCCTCCGCTCAGCGTCTACAGACTGTCAGTTTGGAGCTAAACTTTGTTCAGAGGGGGAAATGTGTTCACTTTGTTGCCTCATGGTTTTCTTGTTTATATCTTAAATATTTGAGCATTTTCTCTCTCTTCCTCTCTCCTTCCCCTTCTCCCTTTTTTCTGTTCCCCTTCCTCTCTTCCCCCCCTCCAGTCAACTCTTGATTGTACATGCTAATGGAAGGGCACAATAGTACAGCTAATACAAATCTGCAACTTTTCTTCATTGCCACAGTGGTCTCTTGGGTTTGGAGACAGAAAAAACAAATAGCAAGAATACCTGGGAAGTCAGTCTCTGGAAAGAGTGGGGAACAGGTGTGTGGGAGTGTGAATTCTACGTTTTTTTCCTGCCCTTTAGTAATAGCCAATTGTAAATGATATTTTTTATTTCTTGTACCAGCCATTGATCAGAGGTGTGGGAAGAGAAAGTAAATATGTTTGGTTTATTTAAAGTAGCAAAATTTGTATAAGAGAGGGAGAAGGCGGCATATTGATTTGGAAATGCCAAATACATCTTTTTCTTGCCTTTCCTGCTACCCCACCCCTAAATACTAAATTTAAAAATTCATATTTGCATTCATTTCTTCCACTGTATTGTGAGTATATAAGCCAGAGCTGTCTTAGCGCTGATGCTCAGTGGCAAACACAAGTCAAATCCTCTTCTAACCATGAAATGACACAAGAGGGCTCTCCCAGGCCAGATAATAGAACAGGAACAAGAAGGCCTGGGCAAAAGTCCCAGCTTTTCCATTAATTAGCCCTGAGTCCTTGGCAAACTATTTAGCCTTGTTGGGCCTTATTTTCCTCATTTGTGGAACAAGAGAGTTGTTTTAGATAATCTGTAAATTTTTTTCTAGCTTTAATTATTACGGTATAAGGATAGCTTTATGCAGTTTGTATGTGAAATTTAGAGCAATTGTTGAAGAGAAGAGGCAGGTATTTTTCTGTTCAATAATAAAAAATTTTAAAAAATTTTTTCTAAGATCATCAGTGACTTCTCCTTTAGCCCTTGTAGCTGTAACAGTCTTAAGTTATTAAATAATTTTTATCCACAGTATTTGTTATGATGGGATTTGACTTGAGCTATCAACCAGGTGATTTTTATATACTTCTATAGGATTACTGAAAACAACTGTCTCTTCTCCTGCCTGTGTACCCATAACCATTTTCTTCCTCCTTTTCCACACTGTCATTTCATGCCTATAGCAGTCAACTGTGACAGTAAGTTTTAATACTTTTGGGACAGCAAATTACATTTTAATTGATGTAGAGGTTCTTGCTAGTGGGTAGCAAGGGATAGTTTGGGGGGTTTTGTTTGTTTGAAGCCATAGAAATCAGGAAAGCAGAGACAAAAACCAGCATAGGAACAGTGCAAAGCAGAATATTACTAAGTCAAGAGTTGATTATATTTTCCATTGGTTTTAGCATATAAATTATTTGGCATCATGAACAAAGAGTAAACAAAACTAAGGTTATTTGAAAGGCATTTTTAGGTAGAAAGGAATGTGTTTTAGGAAGTGTAGAACACACATAAATAAAGCCTGTTAAAAAATAGTCAATGACCATTCCAGGTCTGTAGCTTATTTTTCCATAACGTTCTTAAGAGCTTTAGGTGAATTTATCCCTGACTCACTTTATTACATGTTGAGCCATGTAATTATTTTAAAAGAGGCTGGCCAGTTGGCTCAGTTGGTTAGAGTTGGGTGTTGATAACACCAAGGTCGAGGGTTCAGATCCCCTTATCAGCCGCCAAAAAAAAAAAAAGAAAAGAAAAATTTAGAGTGTCACCACTGGTCACTTCCACATCCATCATGCAAAGATTGCTTGGCTCCTTCGTCATTTGTAGCCCTGTCACTTAACATCATGGATAACTTACTGCATTTGCTCAAATGAACCTGTTGCTGTTCTGATATGTACAAAATGTGAGTTATCTATTTCCCACCATTTTATATTTTATATTGCTTGAAGAGTTATGCCTTAGCTAACAGCTGCTTTGTTGTCTTATCTGTCCTTCATATGCAAGTAACCCTGTAGTGTAGAATTGCCACAAGAATGGTGTAGATTGGGTTTCTTAGAAATCTTGACAAAATCAGTAGTGATGGCCACAAATAAGAAGTTTAATATGGACATTTTGATGCTTTCCCCAGTTCTGCACATCTTTAGATTATGTTAGTGGTGGTTCTTGGATACTATATTCTGGCAGCCTACTTAAAGACATTCTGAATTGCTTAAAGGACTTGCATTCATCTGTCTATGAGGGCTTGTGTACTAATTGATTGAAAATGGGAAATAAAATAGGGTAGTTTCCATTTCTTCATATGATACCTCTAGGATGTGTTTGAACTCTCAGATAGTTCTGCTTAATGGTTGTGAGAGTCCAGTGTTACTGAAATGAAGTTTGTAAGATAGTAAGTTTCTAGTGGTATCAGTGTGCATTACTGTATCTGAAGTCTTCTAGAGATCCTGTCTTGTAAACAGTGTTATACCTGTTCTGGACCTCATGTCTTCCCTTTTCCTGGTTCTAGTTCTTTACTATTGTTAGCCACCTGACCCTGGTCAACTATTTTAATTCCTCTTCTTTCCCCCTCCTCCCAATTTCCTATGGGGATCTGAACCGTTGACTTTGGTGTTATAACACCATGCTCTAACCAGCTAAGCTAACCAGCCAGGCTTTTCCTCTGCTGTTTAGATCCTCTGCTTAGATTTCTTTTCACTCTGCCTGCCTTTTTATTCTTTCCTGCCTGTAGTACTGTGCTTTTTCTTTAGAAAGCCAAATTCACCACTTTCTTCATTGCCAATATTATTGTCAACTCCAAAACCCCCTCCCAAACAAATCTTGCACCTTAGTTATAATTTCCATTAAAGTGCTATATAGCAGTGCAGTTTTTACCATATTAACATGCATTTGCATATTGATGCTTTAACTGTTTGCTGTATGTATATGTCTTTTATTCCCAATTAAATTTTCCATTCAAGAATAGTGACTTTGTCTTCTGTCTCTTGTATTTTTCACCATACACAGCACCTAATCAACAATCTTTGGTGAAATATTGTGGCTTAAAATCTTACTGAAATGTTATGAATATATTTGTGACAGCTTATCTAGAAAAAAAAAGTTCTGCTGAATAGTTCCTTTGCTGGAGTTTGTATTAGATCTTATTTCAGTTCTAGCATATATGGTCTATGAGATGTGACGTTTTAAATGTTAAAGATACATAGTTCAAATATTTTTTTCTCCTGTGCTACTAATATTTTAATGTATTTTATTTGAACAGCAATCTGTAATTCCTTTTTCTGTTGGGTGTTTTGTTTTAAAAACTAAAAACTTTATTTGGAAAAATTAGCCAAGTGAAATTGACATGAGAAGACATTTTGAAATTAAGATCTGAGTATCTTTAATCATAGTACACATGTTTTACTGAGAACACAGCTTTAGAATGAGGGGCTCGCAAATTTAAATCTCAGTTGGACCATGATTCTATCATGTGTTAACATATGCCCAGCAGTATAATATTCTGAAGTCGTTATGGCTGGTTTTACTATTAGAAGTCTTCTAAAATTCTACCCCAGCAGTTTTTCCTGTATCACCAATATAGTAGTTTCACTGCCATAGTTGTACTTCTTGTTTCTGAATGTAGTCATCAAAGATCAATTTGACGTGGCTGGTTAGAACATCAAGGTGTGTTTCAAATCCCGTTGGAATGCTTAGTTTGGGGTTTTTATTATGTGCATAGAGAATGTTTTTGTTTACAGCATGATTTTGTTTGCTTCATCATACTTCTGAAACTCATTGCCTTGCCCTCTTCCAGCTTGATTCTGCATGCTTTTAAAAAGTCTTGTCATCCTAACTCTCAGGTAGATGTGCTCTATTCTAGATCTTTCATTATGTACCTTCCAAAGTAGATGACTGTTCTAAGCCTGAATCAGTCAGCTTTTGTTTCAGTCATCTGGTTACCTCACAGTTAATGAGATAACAATGAAACAAAAATATTAAAATACAGTTTGAAGAAAGAGAAGTTATATTTTCGGGTGATCAACATTACTTGGATAGTAATTATCAAGATTATTGGTTTTTTTGTTAGATCTTTGCTCTGGTGACCATGGTTGCTTTCAAGGTATTACCTCTTTCTCAAGATCTCTTAAGGTGGATCAGTGGCCCAAGGATTTTGGCAGATAACTAAACTTATTTTGATTTCTTTCAGATTTCGGCCTATTAAAGGAAGGCAAGAAGAACTAAAGGAAGTAATTGAACGTTTTAAGAAAGATGAACACTTGGAGAAAGCCTTCAAATGTTTGACTTCAGGGGAGTGGGCACGGCACTATTTTCTCAACAAGAACAAAATGCAGGAGAAATTATTCAAGGAGCATGTAAGTTTATTAAGAAGATTAATATTATCCTGTTTGGGTAAGAGCAGTAAACTAAAGCCTAAATGTTAGTGAACACTGAAATTTTAAATTGAGTTTTCATATAACTGATCAGTATGAAGATCTTGTAACATTTAAGATCATTTGGATAACTATCAGAAGAGAAAACTTTGTCATTTGGAAGTGAAATTCATTGAGAACTTTTATAGAAAAACAGTCAAGCCATTAGGTACTCAAATATTTTAAATTTTAAATTTTATAAAAACAAAGTTTGTTATTTAATGATCTTACATTCTTTACATTGTTGCTGGTAGTTTGCTTTTATAGTTCTGAGAAAGTCTAGCAGGATAAATAATTTAAAGTTATTACCAAACTTTTTTCCTGTTTTAGGTATTTATTTACTTGCGAATGTTTGCAACTGACAGTGGATTTGAAATATTGCCTTGTAATAGATACTCATCAGAACAAAATGGAGCCAAGATAGTTGCAACAAAAGAGTGGTAACTATTATGCTAGTATAAACCCATAAAGTAATTTTATTTAAAATTTTCTCTTACATTATTATTAAAGTACTAAGAAATTCAGTAAGGAATGAAGGCAGAGTTACCCTGAAGGAGCCAAGGTAGTGTCATTGCTTTGGTCCAGTGACTGGAGTCGAGAAGATGAAACTAGATGTCTGTGTTGAACCAGATCCCATGTCTAGGCCAAAGTGCTTTTCTTTTTCCCTTTATTGAATCTGAATGCCTGCTCAGTGACAAGATTGATGAAAGATTAGGGATGCCAGGATTAGATAACCTAACTTCCAGAGTCAGTCCTTTACTGGCCTAGAAGAAAGGTTTGAGATGAAGTCTTAATGATCCTAGGAGTTTTATGGGTGGAAATGTCCTAACACATTACCTGCTTAAAAATACATATATATATATATGCCAGCTTCAATAAAAATAGTAGGGTTGAGCCCAGCTAGGAGGTATAAAAGCCATAGATGAAAGAGACAATATGTGACTGTCTTTTCAAATAATGTTTGTTCCCTACCTTATCTCTCAGGAGAAACGTAGCCACTCTCATATACCTACCTCTCACTATTACTTTCTTTCTTTCTTTTTTTTTTTTTTTTTTTTTTTTTGTGGCTGGCCAGTGTAGGGATCCAAACCGTTGACCTTGGTGTTATAACACTGCTGTAACCAACTGAACTAACTAACCAGTCAATATTTCTTATAGCAAAAATTTGGGGGGTCAGGTATCTGAAAATGGAAAGAGCAAAAGAGCATTACTCCCACGCTTCTCAGATGGGTATGTGTACATGATTGTACTCTGCTTGCCTCAGGATGGTATTGAGCCTGCTAACTGGATCCTGTGGCTCCCCATTTTGCAGATGGGTATGTAGGATTGAGATCTAGGTTGCCAGAGTTGTATTGTCCAGTACAGTAGCCACCAGCCACATTAAGTCCTTGAAATGTGCATAGTTGGAATTGAGAAGTGCTGTGTGATATGCACACGAGATTTCATTTCTCACTGATATTTCTTATATTGATTACCCGCTGAAATAGTATTTTTGGATATATTGAGTTTAAATATATTAAAAGTAATTTCATCTGTTTTCTCTTTACTTTCTTACTGTACCTGCAAAAACATTTAAGATTACAGGGCTGGCCAGTTAGCTCACTTGGTTAGAGCATGGTGTTGATGACACCAAGGTAGGTTCATACTGGCCAGCCACCAAAAAAAAAAAAAAGAAAAAATTGCAGATTTGGCTTGCATTAGATTCCTAGTGGATGATGTGCTCTAGAGGGTGGCACCACATTTCCAGGTCCTCATGTACCTTTACTGCTACTGGTCCCTGTCTGCTTCATCCAGTGACCAGCCAGTTTAATTCAGTGCAGCAAGTATCTGAATTCTTTATTCCTGCAAAACACTACACTAGAGGCTGCAGGGGCCTCAGACACATAGGTAGCATGGTTCCTGTCCTGGAGGAGTTTCCATTCTCTTGTAGGGAAAAGGCAGATACATAAGTAACCATGTACAAGGCTGTGGGGCTCCAAGAAGGAAGAAAAGATACCCAGCTATAGATCCAAGTAAATCAGCTAAAATTTTAGTACGCTGCTAGGTCTTCTCAATTTCTGGTATTTATTGGGCAGACTTATTTTATTAAAAGAAGCCTTATTACTTATAATTACTAGTAATTTTTAACACATCACATATTTTAAATAGGAAACGAAATGACAAAATAGAATTACTGGTGGGTTGTATTGCCGAGCTTTCAGAAATTGAGGAGAACATGCTACTTAGACATGGAGAAAACGACTTCAGTGTCATGTATTCCACAAGGAAAAATTGTGCTCAACTCTGGCTTGGTCCTGCTGCGTTTATAAACCATGGTAAGCTATATTTCTAAGGTGTTAGCACTAGTGTTGGGCAGTCCTGCTAATGATTAGAATGACCTTATTAAATTCAGTAAAACCTTTATTTTCCTTTGAAAGAGAGTTTGAAATAGGAATTCTTTTTTCACAAACTTATTAAAATAAATATTCCTCTAATTTAACTTGAGACCTAAGCTTCTAACAAAAGTTGTAAAATTATATGGAAAGCTTATTTCAGATTTCTGTAATTGTTCGTGTTTCAGATCTTATCAAGTTAATTGACTTTTATCTTTTGGACATTTTTCAGATTGCAGACCTAACTGTAAGGTAAGCATAAAAATTTTATCTCAAATATTTTGTTTCTGCTTCAGGTGTAAGTTTTGTAATGGGTTACTTTATTTCAGTTTGTGTCAACTGGCCGAGATACAGCTTGTGTGAAGGCTCTGAGAGATATTGAACCTGGAGAAGAAATTTCTTGTTATTATGGAGATGGGTTTTTTGGAGAAAATAATGAGTTCTGCGAGTGTTACACTTGTGAAAGGTAAAGTATTCAGTAAGATTTTTGGCTTTAACATTCTTTTAACCCTCTGATGTTTATGGGCACTAACTCACATAATCTATCATTTAAATGCAGAGAGTCTTCTATGTTCTGCAGCATAGCGCCCAGTACAGTTTGTAGAAACAAAATCAAATGATACACTGGCACCTGTCCCTTTAAAATCTTAATATTACCAGCTGGTTTTTTTATGAGTTGGATCAGAATACAAATGTGCTTAAAGATAGAATGGGTAGTGGCTTACACACATACACATGCAGTGCCAGAGTGGAGTTGCCCCCAAAATGGCAAGTGAAGTTCATCGCTGGTAGTCATGTAAGAACCCTGACGTTACCTTGCATGTTATTGAGCTGTGTCCTTCAGAATTTTTGTTTTGATGCACATACTTTTCACAGCTCCTAAATTCTGTCTGCTGCTGAAGAAGTAAGGAACCTCTTTTTGTGACCCATCAGGACTCTAGAGTCCTTACAGAAATTCAAATTTGCCTTGGCAGGACTGTCAGTTCACACTACTACTCATTGTAGTGACTTCTGCCTACAAGAGCTCTGCGGAAGGAGCTTCACAAGCTGGTGCAGGAAGGCTCCTGTTGCAAGGTAGTGCGGACTACACAGGCCACACAGGGAAGGAGACCTGTGTTAGCTGAGCCCATTTTGCACATCTTGCACTGTGCTAGGCACTTTGCTCGCCAACTAGTTCAGTCCTCACAGCTGTCCTGTGAATGAGAGAGAGGTAATAACATGCCACATTGCGAGTACAGAAGCTTAAGTGTCTGGGCTGCCGTCAGCCTAACTTCAGAGTCCTCACTTTTTCCACTTCCTGTTGCTTTTATAGGATAAGCAAGTTATCAGTTTGTGCCAATTCTCTCACTTAAAACACCCAGCCTCCAGCCACCCAGGCTGTTGGAGAGCTGGGCAGATTCCCCAGTCACCATTTCCCTCCTTTCTGGGTAGCCAGGGATCTCCAGCTGTGTAGCAGGCAAGGGTGGAGTCGTAGAGTCATAGTGCTACCCTTTTCTCCTGTGGCACTAGGCTTCTGGCAGTGATGGGACTACACAACACCTATTCTTTTTTTTTTTTTTTTTTTTTTTTTTTCTTTTTTCGTGTCCGGCAACGGATCGCAACCCTCAGTGTCGCGCCCGTACCGGACCAGGACCAGCAACGGGATCGCAACCCTCGGTGTTGCGCCCGCACCTCGCTCAGCCAGTGAGCGGGAACCAGTCTGTATGTGGGATCCGAACCCTCGGCGGGAGCACCGCCACACTCCCAAGCGGTGCACTGTAGCAGTGCGCCACCGGGCCGGCCCACATAAAAAGATCTTTGAATCCACAAAGCTGTTTAATTATAGTTCAGTCATGCTTTAAAATTATTTTATAGAGAAAACATAATGTAACAGGTAAGTGCCTGTAGTATGGAGTTAGACTGCCTGAGTTGGAGCCTTACAGCTCTGCATTTTTTTAGCTGTGTGATTTTGAGCAAGTTAATCAGCTTCTTTGTTCCTTAATTTCCCCATCTGTAAAAGGGGGATAGCATTAGAAGCTATTTCATAGGGTAGGGCCAGCCCATGCCTCACTCGGGAGAGTGTGGTGCTGATAACACCAAGGCCACGGGTCCAGATCCCGTATAGGGATGACTGGTTAGCTCACTGGGTGAGCATGGTGCTGACAATACCAAGTCAAGGGTTAGGATCCCCTTACTGGTCATCTTTAAAAAAAAAAAAAAAAAAAAAGAAGCTATTTCATAGGATTGTTGTGAGGATTAAATTTATTTCACATAAAGCATGTAGAACAGCACAGAATTAATACACAAATGTTAACTATAGAATTATTTTGTTGGGCCGACCCGGTGGCGCACTGGAGAGTGCGCCGCTTGGGAGTGTGGCGGCGCTCCCGCCGAGGGTTCGGATCCCATGTGGAGACTGGTTCCCGCTCACTGGCTGAGCGCGGTGCGGGCGCAACACCGAGGGTTGCGATCCCGTTGCCAGTCCCCGGTACGGGCGTGACACCATGGGTTGCGAACTCGTTACCGGTCAGTAAAAAAGACAAAAAAGAATTAAAAAAAAAAAGAATTAATTTGTGGTTTCTGGTTTCCCATTAGAATATAATCTCCATGAAGGCGGGGACTTTTATCTCTTTCGTTTACTGCCATGTCCATAGCATACAGAACAGTACCTTGTACATAGTAGGTGCTTGGTAAATATTTGCTAAGTGGATGAATGAATAGAGTAAATAAATACGATAAATATGTTTTGGAGGCTTTCCTGAAAAAAATCTAACCACATATTCAGGATTCCAGACCAACACTGAAACAGCTCTTATACTGGTTTAGAACCACAAGTATGATTGCATTCATTGGGCAGATTCGTTCTCTTTCTCTACAAGGTTAGTGTGAGGAATAGATGGAAGCATGCAAATCCTTTTTAAATGAGACAGCATAATACAAAATAGTAGGCACAGCTCTTCTCAGACTGTTTGAGCAGTTTGATTTAAATGTTAACTGTATATATATTCTTGAAACTCTCGGGAATGCCACATTCTTTCTGCCTTTACAGAAATTAGCTGGGAGGACAATACTGGTCAAAGGAACTCATTCAATTATTCATCAGTTATTCACTGAACAGTTACTTTATGTTAGACCCAGGACATGCAGTATAATAAACAAGTCCAGCACAGTGCCAGTGGTCAACGCAGTGCAGCCAAAGGGCCACAAACATACAGGGTGAGCTGAGAGCTGGAGGGTGAGAAGAGGTGACTCAGTGAAGAAACGAGAGTGAATGGTGTGCAGAGATCCTGCATGGAATCTCCAGCGTACAATTGAAACACATTTCTGGGCCATGACTATACTGACACTTCAGTAATTATAATGTGTTCATAAGTAAGTACTGCAAATTTCACTCCAGAAAATTGACTTAAACAAAAGGAACCACAATATTAACTGTAAAGACTTAAAACTCAAAAATATTACTTTTTCCCCAATTATATATAAATTGTTTGATATTTTATTTTTATTTTATTTTATTTTATTTTATTTTATTTGTCCTTTTTGAGACCAGCCACACCGCGCTCAGCCAGTGAGCGCACTGGTCATCCCTATATAGGATCCGAACCCGCGGCGGGAGCGCTGCTGCGCTCCCAGTGCCGCACTCTCCCGAGTGCGCCACAGGCTTGGCCCAAATTGTTTGATATTTTAAATATATTTTTTGAAATCGGTCAAAAAACTTTTTTTTTTTTTTTTGGCAGCTAGCTGATCTGGGGATCCAAACCCTTGACCTTGGTGTTATTGACACCACACTCTAACCAGCTGGGCTAACTGGCCAGCCCTGGTCAGAATTATTTTAAAGCTTATATGAAAGTATGTCTGATGATAGCCAAGAAAAAAATTCTAAAGAATAGGGCTGGCCAGTTAGCTCACTTGGGAGAACATGGTGCTGGTAACACCAAGGTCAAGGGTTCAGATCTCTGTACTGGCCAGCCAAAAAAAAAAATTAGGAAAGACTTGCCTTAACAGATATTAAAAGTTACTGTGAAATAATTGTGACCAAAACTTGAAGGTATTAGCCCAGAAATGGACAAATAGATAAGAGGACATGAATAGAGTCCTGAAATAAAGGGAAGTGTATGTGAGATCTTTTTTTTTTTTTTGTCCTTTTTGAGAACAGCCGCACCACGCTCAGCCAGTGAGCGTACCGGCCATCCCTATATAGGATCTGAACCCACGGTGGGAGCGCTGCAGCGCTCCCAGCGCCGCACTCTCCCGAGTGCGCCACAGACTCGGCCCTGTGAGATCTTAATACCGCATATTGGGAAACTATTTCTTTGATAAATGATGTTGGTATAATTCATTGTGCTTCTGAAAGAAAACAAGTTAGACCCCTATATCACATCATACACAAAATAAACTCCAGATGTATTAAAGATCTAAAAAGACACGATGTACTGAAGGAAAATGAAGTACATATATGGCAAAGAGTTAATATTCTAATAACAAAAAGCTCCTAGAAGTTCATAAGGAAAAGACAGAGTTGAATAGAAAAAGGGGCAAAGGAGGAGGAGATGCTTCACAGAAAAAGGGGCCATAAACATGGAAATTAAAACAAAGTTAGGTATTCTTTTTTTCACTCATCAAATTGCAAAATTTAAGAAGTGTAACATACTGCTGAGGTGGTGGAGAAACAGACATTCATAGGATGCTAATAGGGCCAAAAATTGCTCTAACCCTTGGGTACAGTAATCTGGCAATATTTATTAAAAATGAGCATACTCTTTTACACCTGGCAGTCCTGTGTTTGAGGAGAGGAATCTATCCTATAGAGATATAAGCACCAATTAGTAAAGATTTGGTTTGAAAAGCAATGTAATACAGCACTGTTGGTGGTGGGAAGCAAAAAAAAAACCCACAAGTTTCAGTAATCACGAATGAGGAATGATTGAATAAATTACAGAACATTCATTCTGTGGAAATACACAGCTTTCAAAACATATGTTCAGGGGCCGGCCCGGTGGCGCACTGGATAGTGCGCCGCTTGGGAAGCGCGGTGGCGCTCCTGCTCGAGGGTTCGGATCCCACATACAGACCGGTTCCCGCTCACTGGCTGAGCGAGGCATGGGGGCGACGCTGAGGGTTGCAATCCCGTTGCCGGTCCCCGGCCCGGTGCGGGGGCAACACTGAGGGTTGCTATCCGTTGCGGGGCGGGGAAAAAGAAAAAAAAAAAAAAAAAAAAAAAAAAATGTTCAGATTGATTTGTCTATAA